ACAAAAAAAATGGACGCTATGAAAATCGTAATTGATTGTCCCGGAGAAAACGATGTGAGGGCAATGTGCATTTGGATGAGGCGCAATCGGCCCCTGCAGGAGCAAGCGGAACACTGGAAGGAGGTGAGGGGTCGCATGAATAACGTGGGACCAATTCTCCGCTTTATCCTTGGCAAACAGGCATATGATGACCGCATTAAAGCGTGTCAGCAGACCGTGGATGGGTCGACTGCCTCGGAATTAGAGCGTAATTTGGGTATTGGCTGTTGTTACTCGCCTATTGACAGTGACTTGTCTCGAAAGCTTGTGAGGGTTGTCCGAGTACGACGAGGAAACAGCATTGAGTCGCCTCTGACTGTACTGATATCTTCCCACCTCGAACGTGAAACTTTGTCCAGGTTGGAGAGTGAAATGAAGCAGTCCGATTTTATTTTTTTCGTTTTGAGGTTCTGGGATTATGTCCCACCATATATTATTGGAAAGTATGCCGTATCCGCATTTTTGAATGAGGATTTCCTGCGTGCGATAAGACTCAAAATCAAGGAACTGAGGCCACGAGGACGACGTGAGTCACACAGCTGTGCGCTGAAAGAGCACTCAGACACGAGCTTCGCCAGGAAAGAGGTTCTACCACCACCGGAACGTCTTTCCAATCCGGTTGCTATGGACCACTGGGTGCTGTATGAGCCGAAAGTCCAAAACTTTCCGCTGGTGGACGGCTTTTTCTTTGTGGACTCAAATCCGAAGACGCTGGTTGGGCTGCGGATGGCTACGGCGGGTGGGCACCACACGAATACCAGCACTGTGAGGCAGTTCACTGAGTGCCTGGCGGCATATTTTGAGGGTTGGGAGGAATCATCCCGAGACATGTCGTGGGAGATTATTTATGTGCAGCAGGCAGACAGCTCGCCGATGACTGGCTGGCAGGGATGTGATGTTGTCAACTCCGATAATGTGAGCCGCGCTGAAAACCGAGAGATTGCGGCGTTCTGGAACGAAAAGGTGCGCCAGTACATAGCAGCAGTATCATCCGGAGAGCTTAGAATGGGCGAAGCTCTCTGAGGTGAGGAATAGCCACAGAAATAGGAAAATGAATTAGGGAATGAAAGGGGTGGTTTTGATTTCTGGTGAAAAAAATATTGTGGGAGTTATATATTTTTGGATACTTTTTTGTGTGCATGCGGTGCGGGTGCACCAGCACAAGACGGCAGTATATCGCACAGACTTCAGAACTGTCCAACGCTATCGAACTTAACAGTGGCAGAAAAAATTAGGGAGGGAGTGGGGTTGTTTGTTTTCTGGTGAAAAACATTGGGTGATTTTTATATGGTATGTTAGTTGTGTGTGTATACGAGGCGTAATTGTAGAATTGCCCCGGTATGAGGGAATCATTGTGGCTGGCGCTGTGGCTGTACTACTGCATTGTCTATTTTCTTCTGTTTGTGTTCTAAGGCCCATCACGAACAGTAGCATTTTTAGGGATTGGACGATGCATAAGTTCTATTGAGGAAACAGTGTGCTCCGTGTGACCGCGTGGGGTGAGGCGCCACGTCATGGGTGGATGAGGATCCGCTTCTGCGTGTGGCTCTTTGGGTGGTTGCTCGCTCCGCGTGCGCTGTGTGTTGGCTGCGGGGCTGTGGCCGTATCCCTTTGGCCGTGG